CTTGGTCAACAGTCCATGTTTTTAACCTTAATGAAAAGCCCTGGTTTTGTCCAGATGATCCGGCTTTTTTATGTAAACAAAAACATTTATTTTTAAATGCTTGTGAATGACCCATGAGATTTGCCTTTGTTTTTCCCCAGAGAGAAGAAAAGTCCACATCAGTGCACCATAAGTCATGTTTACAGTTTACGATGATTTCACATCACATTGCAGACCGAAGTCACATTTCCTTTTCATCACTGGTCTTCAATCTGTAATATTTATTCTCATGGATTAGATTAAATCCATAGTGACACGCCTATTATGTTGTATATTAAAATGTATATTAAATTATATATAAGTCCCTTAAATATTTTGTGCAATGTTGGTCAGACAAAATAAATCATTTGTGATGTTGTTAATTAGGTGATTAATGATGGATAACAGCATCAGCTATTGGTCATTAACAAGAATTTGTTTTCAAACTCTCAATAAAATCCAATATGGTCGCATCCATTAAAATGCCTCAGCCTTGGGACCTCCCACTGAAATACCAGGAATAGGAATTATTTGCTTACATCAGTGGTTTTTAAACTGTGGGAGCTTATACAGGTGGATGTCACCAATCAAGGAAAATATGCAGTGGACTAAAGTTAAATAGATCTGGTTTTTCTGAAATTAAATGTGCTGACTATTATTATTATTTTTTTTTTCAAATTCAAGTTTTCTGGGGTGTGGACCTTTTCCCTTCTTTTTTGTTTTCTGGGCATGCCAGAAAACATTAAGTAACCACTAGTGTACTGCTTGGTGCTGAATGACTTACTGACATTTGACTGAAAAATGTAAGAACTGCTGTGCCTTTGATATCAAAGGTTTTAATCTCCTGATTTTGGCTTTGACTAAAAATGTATTTTAATGGTCAGAATTTATTTTCCACATTTACTCTGATTAATTAACAAACATTTAACAAATCTTCAGGAAGATGGAAACACCCTTACTGAATCCACAGCACCATCAACCGGTCACGAGAGTAGTTACTGATCACTAAACAGAGTGAAAGATTTTTTTTTTTATTTCTTTTTAACCCTGGTAACCTCAGACTCATGGCTAAAGCTTGCAAGTGGTGCACAAAGCAAAGTTTAAAAATCATCAGCATAGCCATCAGTTAGATGTTACAAACACTTTAAAAGTGAATTACATGGACGGATTAACGTCATTAGAGGTACCTGGGTAAGGATCAGTTGGCGCATCCCTTCTTTCCACCTCAAACAATCAGGCACTTTCAAACAAATACTTTGAGATTTCTTTTATCTCAACTTACTAATTAATCATCCAATCACTTTTGTATTTGTTACTTATCCATATTAAATTGATTTTCAATGATCTTTTACTCTATATTCGGACATTTTATAAATGGATTAGCAATCATTGTTCCAAACTTATGCAAACTTCTTATCATTTTCGTTTTTACTGCTTGAAAAACAAAACAGCAGATTCAAGCTGATAAAACAGAATTTCGGGTTGAGCCCTCCGGTGATATTTGGCGGTGGAAATTAAATGAATTCTAAGTGATAGACTGAGTAAGTCTGACTTTGGAATCGTTGGATGCTCGTATTTATTTTATTAACATTAATGCTAATGTTTACATCTATTCCTGTGTTTTTGATTACGAGTTCTGCTGATTCTAAAATACATCAAAAATACTGTAGAAATATTTGGTTTAAATGTGAACAATAAAGGTCACTTTACTGCCAGCTGGGGAGGAAAATGCTAAAGGTGACACTGTAAACACATGCGTGCACTTGCACAAGAACGGCGCAAATGGTGCATGAAATCCCAAATGTAGCGCCATATGCACATCTGTCTGTGTTTCTGAACACTTCTTTGAACCCCAAATGATCAGCAGGCCTATTTCACTTATTTCTACAAAATCATGTTAGATCAATATGCTTTTTTATTTGATTGATTCAAAATACACAAATAAATACAATACAAAGGCCCTGCAAGTTTGCACTAATATTTGCAAGTAAGTAAACACGTGTTTCCCACCCGGTGGAGCTTCCCTTTTTCTTCTCCTGCTTTATAAAGCGTAATATTTCTGCCACCTTATCTCTTTTTAATCATGTTGTATCTGGAAATTATCTTTAAAAAATAAATAAATAAATAAAACAGCCAGTTTTAAAGCGTGAAATCAAAGGCATCGATTCACTTCCAACTACCAGCTTCACTGACTTAAAAACAGTTGATCAAAGAGGTGGAAACGTGCTTCATGAGGGCCTCTGAAGGCTGAAAATAACACTAACAGATAATTCTGCAGGATTATGATTAATGGCTGAGTGGGCGATTGCATTTGATTTTCCTCACGTATTTCATATTAAAGCGAGAGAGCGTCTCCACCTGTTTTTTTTCTGCAGCGCGTTGAAAAATCACCAGGTGTGTTTCTGCAGCAGCCGGCTGGATGTTGAGCAAACAAAGCTGATGCACATGTTTGCATCAGCTTTGACTGTGCGCATAAAATCGTCTTTTTTCCGTTCATTTGCTCCGCCATCTATATTTTAAACTCAGTGGGGTTTTTTTAAAATTAAATTATTAAAAGTGGTGTTTTTACACGTGGGCCTCTTGAAAATCCTATACAACGTATTTCTATAATGTAGGAGCTATTTGTTAAATACGCCAGAAAAGGGGCGCATTCCAACTATGTTTTAATATTTTTATTATCCTATCCTAGAATTAAAAATTCGAACCAGCTTTGTGTATGACTTTTAGTGATATTCTCCTGCAGGTTTAAGCACCTACATGGAG